AACACTCACATTTGGCTCAGAAGGTTTTTAAAGGTGGAGGATTTTAAGATTGTACATCTTTTTAATAAGAAAAATACATGAAAATTAGATAAGGCAAATGAAACAAAATAAGTAAAATATAATAGAATAAACTTATATAAATTATAATACAATAAAAACAAATCAAAAGAAAATAAAACAAAACAAATTAAATTCAAATAAAATAAAATAAAATAAAATAAAATAAAATAAAATAAAATAAAATAAAATATAATAAAATAAAAAAAAATAAAATAAAATAAAATTAAATAAAATAACATAACATAAAATAAAATAAAATAAAATAAAATAAAATAAAATAAAATAAAATAAAATAAAATAAAATAAAATAAAATAAATTAAAATAAAATAAAATAAAAAAAAATAAAATAAAATAAAATTAAACAAGGCATTACAGAATAAAATAAAATTAAAAAAATACATAAAATGAAATAAATAAAAAAATAAAATCAATTAAAATGAAATAAAACATACGAATATAAATAAAATAAACGAATATAAAAAATAAAATAAAATAAAACATAATAATATAAATTAAAATTAAATACATGAAATGAAAGAAATTAAAATTAATTAAAAAAATTAAATAAAAAAACAAAACAAATTAATTTAAAATAAAATAAAATAAATGAAGTAAATTAAAATAAACAAGATAAATTAATCAAAATGACATAAGATATTATGAAGAAAACCAAGTTTAGTTAAAATTGGATGTAATTAAATTAAATTAAATTAAATTAAATTAAATAAAAATAGAGAAAACATAAATAGAATAAGCCAAATAAAAATAAGTTAATATAAAATAAAGTTATTAAAAATAAAACAACATGAACTAAGGTAAAACAGAAAAAAATAAAATAAGGAGAATTATTTAATTAAGGTTAAAATATAGCAAACCAAAATAAAATAAATTAAAATAGTTAAACCACTTCTTAGCAACGATTGCAATTGAACGTTCTGATTATGGGAGTTTGTGTATGTGTTTGTGTTAGTAGTGCGGTAAATGCTTCACTGATCAAATAACCAAACTACCATTCTCTCAATAGCTTCAAGCTTCACGAAGTTGACCAGCCGGCATTTTATACTCAATTTGTAATGCCCTTGTTACCAATTTACTACGATTTTGTTGTTGTAGCAATTGTTTTTGTGGATGCTGTTGTTGTTGTTGTTTTAGTAACATCAGCATTAGATTTCAACTCTCTTCACCGAGCACTTTACCTTTTCAGATTTCGAGCCGCAGCTGCCCTCAGCATTTTGTAGCTTGGCATTTTTACGAAATTTCCTTTTATGTACTACCTTTTATTAACCGGCAGGCAGGGTCAGCTAGCCAGCCAGTCTCGGAGTATTTTCCTATTGTGATTTTTTAATGTGTTTCTAAATTGCGAATCCTTTAAGTCCACATTAGGCAGGTAATAAAAGCTTAGTGAGCGGCGCAGCAGACGCATCAGCAGCAGGACGAAAATTGCAATTTCAGCTAAATAAGTTCAAAGGGAAGTTGTTTAATTCATTTTGTTGCTTTTTTCATTTTTGTTTTCTTCTTCCTCTCGAAAAATGTAGTGGCAAAATAAGTGAATGGAAATAATGAATAAATAAGTAATGAGGGAATATCCCTCGTCCGTTCGTTCTTTCAGTAAGTGAGGGCGTTCTTGTTTCGGGTTGTTATGTACATATGTATTTGTATAGGTGTTTCCGAAAACTCATTGCCTTAATAGTTTTATAATTAGAAATGCACTGTTATTTAATGTGGACGGAAAGAATGTTGTGTAATAACTTTAATCAAGGTGTAGAAAGAATTCGAAATTAGGGCTTCGACTTAATCGCAAATATTCTCATTTGATGTTTGTATGTTGTGTATATGTACATACGTGTATGTATGTAATTATACAACCCGAAAGCCAAGCACGTCGTCGGGCAGTCTTTGTGCTGAGGAATAAATAGCAAACTGAAATGATAATACTCCATTGGATTCCAAAATTTTGGAACATTTAAAAAAAAATTTATACGGGTGGCAACCCCTCTCAAAAAAAAAAATGGTTTAAAAATTTTTGTAATAGATCTGCATCTATAACCTTATTGATTGTTAAATCTGAAGCTTTATAAATTTTGAATTTTAAAAAGATGGCAACCCTTGAGCATTTGGTTCACTGAAAGCTTGATCATACGCTTTCAGTGTGTTATTTAGTAATATTATAATATTATTTAAGATAAGCTAACAGATGAACGAAAATCGGTTTCCGTTATGTATTTGAACAGCTGGCAACCCTATGTACTTTAAGCTATAAATAATATAAAAATTCTTTAATTTAGCACTCCAAGTTAAATAGTTAGTCTAGTAGTTTTAAATTTTAAGTTTATATATTCCTAATTATGAAAAAGGTGGCATCTTTGTCAAAAATAGTTTATCGTCTATACGCACAGAGAAGTGTAGTCAAGCCTCTGGGTATGCAGTTTCAGTCGCTTGGCTGTATTCAAATCCTACTCTTGCGTCCACATCGCGCACACTGGAAACGCGAGCAACCTAAGTGGAAGGTGCCGCAACCAACCCGTGTGGAGCTTTGGATAACAGCTTAAAGAGAGGAGTAACTCCGATTTATTCGGTTAAAGGGACCGCTGAAGTATAATTGCAGCGTCTGTTGACCAGAGGTCAAGCGGGCATCGGTCTTAAGGCAAGTAAATGTGTGGAAACTTTAAACTTACTCGACTAGCGAGGTTGTGCGTTGGGTTTGGCACCCGCCACATAGAAACCAACACCAATTCAAAAATTTATTACGCTTTGGATGAGGTACCCCTTTCTGACGACGACCCCTCAAACAAATTAAACATCACGATCTGAGGGCATGCCCTGGAACGTCCAGTCCCTTAATTGGGAAGGTACCGGTGCCCAGCTGATTGATGTCCTCGTAATAAAAGTGCGTTGGACGGCCAAGGACGGAAGCGAGTAGATCCTTGTGACATTTTTCCCGCGAAATAGTATAATTTCATCTCTTGACCGAAGTTCGTGGATCTTTCAAGAGTTTCAGCTGTCATAAGAGGCAAGACTTTTCTGCGCTTCTTTGTCTAATTAAAAACCCACCCAAATATACAAAGTACGTCTTGAGTGTGGGGTCATTTTCGTTACAACAACTCGTCTATGGGATGAAGTCAATAACTGCTAGAGTTTCTTATTTTATTTTTTTTTCTACTTATTTTATATCGTCTGTCTCTAGAACGAAATACTTCACTCCGCACTCTCCCGAAGAAGCCTAAAGCCGTAGTGTTTAAAGTGTTTCTATCTTTTGACTTAACTTTCCCTTGACCCTTTTGTCACTCGAGCTCAGAAAACCTTCAATAGAGCCTCACATCCAGTCAATAAGACCCATTCTAGCTCTATTTACGTAGGCTGGGTCCCTAGTTCAATCCACTGTATAAACCAACTTCTGTAGCACTTCGATCAGTTTTTCAGACCTGACAGGTCCCTATACTAAATACAGACTTGCTCTACAAAGGAGGGAGTACTGAGACTACAAATATACTAAATCGAATGAATAAATATTTAGCCAAAGAAACAGTCATGAAACCGCAAACCAATCTAACGGTATCTCATCTACCAACCTGATGACTGTAGTTAGCACAAAAAAAAAAATTAGTGTAATTATAAATTAAATGAGCAATCATTTAAAATTCTCCAAGGAGAAGCGTTGGTCCTAAGTAAGCTGCTGACTCTTGCGCTCCCGCTCACGCTGACGCTGACGCTTCGCCAACTGCTCTTTTTGTTGTGAGTGCAGTAGACAAGCGAAGAGTTACTGACAACACACCCAAATACAAATATATATGAGCATGCGAAAATGCTGGCAAAACCAAGTAAAAAATAAAAATAATAACAACAACAACATGGGCAATAACATAATCCACGAATGGTGTGCAACAAAATGTCGTTAATTAAATCTCAGCTCTGCCTGTTGTTGGCCAACAAAAGCGGCAGTTGAGCGTTTCCACTATTGGAGATGCACAGAACACAGCATACACATGCATATATACATGCAGAGGTATGTAAGTATTAAAATAATAATAGCTTTTGCTGTTGTTGTTGTTATTGTTTTTATGCTCACTTTCAACAATATTTAACATTTTTTTAAATTTTTGTATATATTTTTATTTTTATTTATATTTTTTTATAATTATTATTATTACTATTTTTCTTTGGTATCCTTCCCTCTTCTCCGTTTTGTTGTAATTTCTTTTCGCGTTTTAACCAAAAATTTGCTCGCGTACACAAATACTATCTTCATAAAAACAATGAAATGATGACCAACGGAATGAGAGAAAACGAGGGAGAGAGATAGCAAAACAAACGAAAAAAACAATGTATTAAATAAATAACAACAGACACGTAAAAGAGTGGAGAACTATGAAAATCCCCTTGTGGATTCACATATTCTTCAATCCGCCTCTATTTCCTCGCATTTTCTTGTGTATTTTCGCTATATTTTTCCACAACACGAAAATTATATAATGAACTTTTTTCTCTTTTTCTCTTCTCATTACATTGCAGGACTTGAGCATTTCACTAGTGCAACATATAAGTAAATAGTAACAACAACAATAACAGATAGTTGAGCTGCCGCGACTGAAGTGCGAAGCGAAAAAAATTGGTGCAAATAAGGCCGGAAACGAAAAGGGCAAAGATTTCCACTCGAAAAGTCCCTCAGCGTATTGCAAGTGACGTACACTTTGTTGCCATAGTTGTTGCCATTGGTTGCAGCGGTGGTGGTGGTGGTGGTGGTGGTGAAGGAGTCACTTTACTTACTTGCTGCCTAACCAAATAGTCAACAGTCGCGCCTCGCTTATATGAAAGAATATTACTTACTAACACCGTTAGTAGCAACTCTTATACTGCAAGTAGTGTTGTTGTTGTTTTCGTTGTTAATGTTGGTGCAGCACGTGCCGGCATCGTCATCATTGCGTGCTCAACACACCGTGAAATGTGCAATTCTTGGCTCCTCATAATTGCGATTACACTGGAATGCTTATGGAATTCACAGCTGTCCGAAACATCGAAATCATGCCCAGCCGAGTGCATCTGCTTATCACAGACACAAGTAAGTTGAAAAGAATGCAGAGAGTGGCTTAGTGTAAAATAAATTTAATATAATATAAAATCGTAAATATATAACAGTGGCGTTGTGCGTAGGAAACATTTAATTATTTGAATTAAATTATTTCATTTGTTGTTTTACTTTATCTTTTTTTTAATATTTTAATTATTTTTGTGTTTCTTCATTATATTTAAATTTTTAAATACATTTTCCTATAATTTTAAATATACATTTTTTCTTGTATTCTTTATTTCTTCTTTATTTTACTTTATTTTAATTGAATTGAATCAATTTTAAGTATTTTTTATATATGTTATTTTATTTTATTTTATTTTATTTTATTTTATTTTATTTCATTTTATTTTATTTTATATTATGTTATTTTATTTTATTTCATTTTGTTTTATTTTATTTTGTTTTATTTTATTAAACGAAAATCCGAGCAACATATTTCAACAACAAAAACAAAATAGTTCAGCTATGCTGGGACTTTAAAGCCTCAACACAAAAACCCAGAACAAACGAAAACTGCAAGCGCAGCAGAGTACACGAGCGCAGAAGGAACCCTTTGCTCGCCAAAAAACTCGCCATAACAACAACATTAATGTTGTCAACAGTTATAATAATAAGAAGATAAAACTAAAAAATAAAGCAATAAAACAACAGCGTTCCATGAGAAGAAATTGTGGTAATGGCAACAATGCTCTAAAGCAGCGACTAAAGTGTTGTCAACAACATACAGAAACATGCCACACAACAACAAAATAGCAAAAATAATAGAAGTAAATCCATTACTACAGACATCCGAAACAGAAGTGCGAAGAAACACATACAAAAACGAAATGATATGATGAAAAAATGTTGAAAAATTAGTAAAGCAGCAAAACGAAATTAAAGCAGCGAAAAGCAGTGTGAGGGAATAGGGACAGAGTCCGTCGAAGATGAAGGTATAAGATAGAGTAAAAATTACTAATTAAATAATAATAATGATCAAAATATTTGCGCGACAAAATGTGAGGGACGAGGATTTCAATTCCGTTAGACCAGCGAAGAGAGGTTAAATGGGGTAATAAAAAGGGTCTTGAGACCCAGACAATTTATATGTAGATTTAGCTGGGACAAAATTATTTAGCCATAAGACGGAGGAGTGGTAAGTGGAGAATATTTCCGATTTAATTCCCCTCGACACGAGTGGCTATTTCGAAGGCCTATGCACATACAACTTTATCTCTCATTAAAAAGTGTCCCAACCACTTTAAGGCACCGCCTAGTTTCAACTTGTATTTCTGGAGAAGCTGAATAAAGCTGGAGGCGGTCAAAATTGAAATTTAAACATCTTACTTATGAGACGAAGTAGACTTTTAGAGGCTTTTTGGCTAGTGGAATCGGTAATACTCGCTGAACAACTCCACTTTCGGTTTACTCTTCGGGAAAGAGTCTCACTCAGTATCAATCCAACATTCAATCTCGACGTCCTTGGCATGAGAGATCGAGAAAAAAAATATTTTCTCACTTATCTCTTTATAGCATTATTTTGGAGATACTATTTTTATTCATCGTGTCTTACTTTATAACTTATTGGAGAATATCTTCAGCGGATTGCATTTTCTTTACAAAAAATAACTTCACTAAGAGCTAAAGCAAGAGAAAATTGGAAGTTCAACCAGTGCGAATTAGCCGGCGAGAGGAATGCGAAAATTAATTTTTCCTCGAAGCGTGTGCGTCTGCTATGATTGCTGCTGATTCTTCAATGCTTTTTTATCGCTTTTTACAAGTCATTTCGACTTTCCTCTTTACTTGGCCACACGCGAGCAAGAAAATTACCTATTTCTGTGATTTCAATTCGCCTTTTGGAATGCTGGCTGTTTTTTTGTCTTAGTAAAAATCTTTCTTGTGAAGGAGATTCTAATATTGTATAATGTAATACGTCCCCAATGGCAACCGCGCTCAGTCATTGTTGTCTGCCGTGGCCTGGCGATGACATCATTTATGCAGAGGGAGACAGAAAACAAGGCCTTCTCAAGCGCTTACGCGAAAATATAGTATGCATAAGTGTGTATGTTTGTAGCTCATAAATAGTAGTTTCTACAAGTGATTTCAGACGTTTCTACTTCGGTTACCCAGTCTTCCTTGCACAGGGCTAGAGGAGCTCAATACGTTTACGCTTACGAATTGCTGGTAAATTGGAAAATTTAAGTAATTTCATTATTCCAGATTATAAGCATATAACTGTATGTATGTATGTATATAAGTATTATGTATTATGAAATCCAGTTCATCCCGTTCGCTTAGTGCGGGCGTCACAAAATGCAACTGCCAACTGCTAACTGATTGCTGCTCCACTAAAAAGGCATTCATACCCATACATAGAAATATGTATTTTAGGGCTGTTCTTCATTGAGGGGGTGGTAGAGCGGTGGGTGTGCTCCCCTCGCTATTTCTTCGCTTCTTTTTATATCTTACTGCTCCGCGAGGGTTCCAGCACACACACACACACATACATATACATACATACATACGAGTATATTTTCATTATGCCCGACATTTTATTTTTCAACAATGATGACGCGACATGAAACTTGCAATTATTGTTGTAATAAAATTGTTAGCCCAATGGCATGGTGAAGTGAAAAAATTAAGTTGCTGACGGACAAAAATGGGAAGAGTACAAATTTAAGAATGATTTAAAAAGGAATGGGTTAAACTTCAATTCAGTTAATTTTGGTAAAACGATATGAGAAAGGATCAAAGAACTTTAGTTGATCTTTCGCTCGCTGCTAAGTAAAAGAGACTTCAATAGTGAAATGAACCCAGGTCACCGCTACGGCCGAGGAGTTGAGGAGACGTTTGTCGTAGCAAAACTCAGTTAAGATCAATTGAGACCTCAGTTGTGGCCAAGACTCCTTGCAAGGGTTATTCAGTAAGACGTCAGAGGTATCCAGGTTTAGTATACATACAGCATGAAGTCAGAGGGAGAGCTTCAATAAAGTCTTGGATGTTTTGTTAGTGTTTACTTCGAAATGGTAACGTCTCGGATAAACTTTTCGTTCAGCATCTCCTAAAAGGGAGAGACTTACTGAAACCTCTGAAGTTTCGGGAATGGATCCTGTAATCGTGTTCAATGGAAGAAACGGATGAAATATCAAAGGCTCATAGAGAAGATAAACAAAACTAGTAAGCAAGGGAAAAATAGATAAATAGAAAAAAAAAGGAGAAAGATAATTAAAGAGAAAATCGAAAGAGAAAGAGAAAGAGAAAGAGAAAGAGAAAGAGAAAGAGAAAGAGAAAGAGAAAGAGAAAGAGAAAGAGAAAGAGAAAGAGAAAGAGAAAGAGAGAGAGGAAGAGAGAGAGGAAGAGAAAGATAAATAGAAATAGAAATAGAAAGAGAAAGGGAAATAGAAAGAGAAAGAGATAGAAAAAGAGAAAGAGAGAGAGTAAGAGAAAGATAAAGAGAAAGAGAAAGAGAAAGAGAAAGAGAAAGAGAAAGAGAAAGAGAAAAAGAAAGAGAAAGAGAAAGAGAAAAAGAAAGCGAAATAAACAGATGAGAGGAAAGAGAAAAAGGAAAAGAAAGAGAAATAAAAAGAAAAATAGATATAGAAATGAAAAATTGCTAGAATTAGAAAGAAAGCGTGAGAAACACAGGGAACGAGAAAAAGAGAGATTTCGTTGCCGCTCGTTCATTTTGGGACTCTGCTTTAATAAACGAATATGGGCAGAGTCTGCGTGATGTGGAGTTCTGGACTCAAAACACAACACGGACTTATATATGGTTGAAACCCATTCAAGGTAGTTTCCATTCCACAGTGTCATTGGGTTCTGTGATCTGCATAGAAAAAGAGTCACAACTATCGGTCAAGGGTTTTTTGTACAATATCTCGTTAGTTGCAAATATCAAAGGAAACATAGTGTAGTGACTGCCTTAAAGAAATGTGAGATAAAGCTGAAATCGAAGTCATCTGTCGCAATCGAAAAGTGACAGAGATTGCTTAGCAGTAGTTCCTTTTTGTTCCAGAACATGCCAAGTAATCATTTTAATGACGATAGTTTTACTAGGCAGGCAAGCTAGTGCTTCTCCGGCCGTTTTAAGGAAAGGTTCCTCAGCTCCTCGATATCAAAAAATCAAGTCAGCACCGCAAAAATAGCATTAAAGTGCCTCAGCCCTTAAAGGTCTGCAATCAATGCCGTTGAGCTCAATCGGTGTATGCATTTATTCCCTCACTCATTCAATCTTACGCGAGTTAATCACAATTACAAGTGAGAGCAAATGAAAATCAACTATAAAATTGAGCATAATATTCATTCAACAGTCGAAATACGAAAAGTCAAGGCACACCTTCTCGCAACGGCCCGCCTGCGCCGCTCACCGCACGTTGTTCGCTGGCATGCATGTCTAATTTAATTCAATTTAGTTGAATAAGTTGAAAAGGAAATCAGTCAAAAATCACGCGCATTTAATGGTGCTCATGATTTGGCACTTCCCTGAGTAGTAGGGAGTTGAAAAGTGTCCATACGCACAAACGCACACCCACCACCAGCCGTTACGAGCAGTCATCAAACGCGCTTTGGAGTGCTGGAGAAATGAATACAGGAAAGACGAACGGACGAATGGGCGGACGTCTGCGAAGGAGGAATCAATTTTTATGGCAGCCAAAGCGTAAAACACACGGCGAGCGGTGAATGCCGAATGGAGGAGGTGGTAGTAATGTGCGCCGATTTAATTTAATTTGCTACAATAATGACGCATATTCAATTTACCCACGAACGCATTTAACGCCATAAAGCGCCACTAAAGCGTATAATGCGGAATGAAAGAAAAATGCGGAAAACAAAGAATATAAACAAACAGCGCGAAATTGTGAGAACAAAACCATAAACATAAACACAAACATTAAGATGCGTGGAAATAGATAGACGAGGCAAGACAGACACAGACAAAAGGACAAACGACAGACAGACAGAGCAATTGTAGTCGTTGGGCGGAGGCGTCAGCGACGCAAACACAAAACGCAAAACACAAAACCTTACACCAGTAAGTTACTCAACGCCTCGGAGCCACAGCAACACGTCGGCAGTTCACACCTTGGCTGGTGGAAGAATACATTCACACGCACATGATGACATAGCTCCCTGGAGTACCATACGTAGCGGTTGGTTATTTTTGTATTTTGTTTTGTTTATTTTGCTCGGGGCGCAACACACAAACGCAGAAAATTATGCTATTAAGTTAGCTCTCTCTACTCACTCTTGTAGTCCATTGTCCTACTGTTTACCAGTTAACTCACAGCACTTTTTTCACACTCTTCTCTTTGTCTATTCCCACAGGTGCTATGTAACACTGGCGGTCTGGAGCAGATTCCATTGCGTCAATTACCCTCAACAGTGGAGAATCTGGCGCTGACGAAAAACAATTTCCCAGTCATAAAACCGGACTCGTTCGCCGGTTTGCGCGCGTTAAAGAAGCTCTCACTGGACGGCAATAATATTACACGTATCAAGCAGTTCGCCTTTCGCGGCTTACCACGTCTCAAGGAACTATCCATACAATATACGCCATTACAGACCGTCGCACAGTTCGCCTTCGCCGGCTTGCAGAACCTCTCCACAATACTGCTGAGTCACAATCAAATTGCCACTATCGAAGGTAATGCCTTCGCGGGCACATCGAATGTCAAATTGATTTTACTCTCCAACAATCCACTCATACGCATCGACAGCTCGGCCTTTTCGAGTCTCACGAATGTTGGGCATCTCATTTTGCCCTCGGGCATACGTACCATCGAACCGGATGCCTTCTTTGGCATGGACACCGTGGGTTTGCTAAAGCTCGCGTACATGGACTTGAAGGAGCTCTCACCGTACACATTCCGTGGTCTAACGAACGTGCTACTGCTGACGTTGCAAGAGTCCGACTTGGGCATTATATGCGCAGATGCCTTTACGGGCCTTTCACAGGTCGATAAACTGCAGATACTCAACAACAAAATCGATTTGATTGAAGAGCTTAACTTCACCTACACAGCGGACATTAAACTGCTGAAGTTTCACGGTAATCATGTACTCGAAACACCCGACCCCAACTCAATTATCATCGATGGCGTCGCTCACTTGGAGTTGGTGAATAATCACTTCCCCTGCGGCTGTCACATACACACGCTGCTGGATGGGCCACTGGTCGAGGGCGCGCATAATCTCAGCGAATTTCTACTGAAGAATTATTGCATTTCACCGCTGGATGTGAATGGCCGTGCGATGGCTGAACTGGACATTGACTCGATTGGTCGTTGCCAGGATCAGCTGACGAAGGGCAATCTCGGCTCGTCCGCGGCGTCAATGGCGTTGAGTGTGAATGTCACATTGTTGATTGCGGCCGCTACAATTGAGCTTCGGCTGTTGCGCACCATTTCGGAGCAATTGTTATTGTTGTGGCAGTATCGTGCACGTGGCGCACGTGGTCGACGGCGAAAATTTTGGCATCTCGTCGGCAGATGAATCAACGGTGACAGCGTCAGCGGTGGCGGCAGTGTTGGCGGCGTCATGCTGCGTAGCCATGGTAGCGCGCGTACTTTTAGTGATATACAAACAAATACATATACATATACATATATTTAACTAAGTAATTATGGCAAATTTTATTATGCGTCAATTTGTGGCCAAGCGACGCGACGATTTATGTAAGTACTAAGAAAAAAATGTATTATTTAAGTAGCGGCGCCCAAGACGTAAGGAGGGCGCGGAGGGCGTCTAGCATCTATTGAATGACTAATTAATTGCTAAGCTTAAGAGAAATCTCACAACTGAATAATTATTACAAATTACTCATTTATAGTGTAGATATTGAAATGAAATTAACGGTAAATGAAGAGAAAGGCTAGTTTATTGCTCGTGTGGTGAAATACGTCGCATTCGGCATTATTATTTATATTTTTCTATGGAAATTGTTTTACTTATTTAATTATATAATACCTATAGCGCAAACTGATGCGCTTAAAAGTATGCTTCAAAAGGATTTAATGAGGCTTACAGTACATTCTCTCCTTAAAATCATTGTTTTTTAATGCCAGATGTAACAGATCAACATTTTTTGTTGAAATATTTATTTATATGAGTATTTATCTTAGTATTATCTATATGTACAGAAGGCGTATACTCAATGAAATCGTAAGCTTCTGAACTAAGAAAGTAGCAATTACTAAAATTTCGTCAGGTGGCGCTGGAGTCAATACATGCCTAAAATCATTATTTACTACTCGAAGAATAGTTTCTTTCAAAAATAGCGAGATTACAAGCAAAACTTTCTTTATTTAAATTTTTAAGCATTTTAAAATTCTGAAAATACTTTTTTCAAATTCCTCATAAAATTTTCTTTAGATTTCTGACTGTCGTAGATTATTGAAATAGTACGCTATATTTAAAAACCAATTAAAAAATATTTTCTTAAATGTCGTCGTTTCTATCTCATAGCTACTAAACTCTTCGCTCTTCACTCAAATAGAAATATTCGGTTTAAAATTTTTTCCGATAGGTGGCACAGCAGTCAAAATATTTTTGTCGCCATAACTTCGTTTCAAATCCGCAGCTTCGGAGCATATAACTGGGGTTTAATCCTATACGTATTCGACCCACTAAACAAAGTGGAAGAAAGTTAAAGTAGGCAGAGTGGAGTGCAGAAGTTTGACAAATTTTTTGCTCACCCTGACTTTCAAGTGGCCTTGTCTCTTCTTCTTGATTGACGTCGGCACCACTTGAGCGATTATAGCCGAATTAATTAAAGCGCGCCATTCATACCTTTCTGTTCATCCCTGATCCTTCCAAGGGAGTGGAGGTCTTCCTCTTTCTCTGCTTTCACTGCATCGAATACTTTCAAAGCTGGAGCGCTTTCATCCATTCGGACAACATTACCTAGACAGCGCAGCCGCAGTCACTTCATTCGCTGAACTATGTCAATATCATCGCATGATTCGTACAGCTCATCGTTCCAGCGCCTGCGGTATTCGCTGTTGCCATTGCGCAAAGGACCATAAATTGTTCGAAAAGATTTTTTTCTCTCGTAGGCTCTCCAAGCTAACTCATCAGCTGTTCGTCCACCCCTCTATGCCATATAGTAGGACAGGTATGATGAGCGACTTGTTGAGTTTGGTTTTCATTCGTCTAGAGAGGACTTTACTTTTCAATTGTCTACTCAGACCAAAGTAGCACCTGTTGGCAAGAGTAATTCTGCATTGGATTTCAAGGCTGCTATTATTGTTGGTGTTGAAGGTGGTTCCTAGATAGACGAAATTATCTACAACTTCGACTGTCAAGTCGCGAGTGTTTTGACTGTTTGTGTGATGGCAGGATATATTTCGTCTTGTCCTCGATCACTACCAGACCCACTCGCGTCGCTTCTGTATCAAACCTTAAGAAAGCAGAACTAGCGGCGCTGTTGTTGAGGCCGGTAATGTCAATATCATCGACATACACCAGCTGCTGTACAGTCTTATAGAAGATTTTACCTTCTTTGTAAGCGCACGTTAAAGGCATCCTTCTCGCATCGCTTACTCTGCTATCGGTATGCGGTCACATACATTGTAATAAATGTCGTAAGGACCTACTCGTCTTTGTCTAATTGTCATTCATCCCACTTTTTGGATGGTGGTAATGTCAGCCTTCAATCTTATGAGAAAATCAACGAGTTGGGCAGCGCCGCCTACAGACAATTAATAAGGCGGATATTCCATTTGAGGACATTGTCCTTTTACACTTGCAGTCGTCGTCATCAAAAGCCAGGTCTCTCAGTGTAAACGTTTTTCGATGCTGGCTGGTCATGTGGCGAATGTTAAAACCAACGCACGCACAACTGCACTAGACGAGTTAGTTTAAAATTTGCACATATGTTTTTAGCGAGCTGCCTGTTGGAGCGCCTGCCTTAAAGGCTGTCACTTTTTTAGTCGTTATTTTAGACTTCACACGGGTTGGTTTTAACATTTTGCAGCTCACTTTTCCAGAGTGCGAAATCTGAGCACAAAAGTAGAAATCGAGTATAGCCCTCCGACGCAAATTGCACCTCATTCTTCCTCTCCTTTACTGGCATAGATACCCTTACGCGATTATAGCTGAGTTAACGGCATTGCGCCATCTTCTTCTATTATTAGCAGTTTGGCGTCAGTTGGAAATATTTAGTGAAACTGGGTCTTCGTCTACCTGGTCAGAGTGGAGGTCTTTCTCTTTCTCTGCTTCCATTGGCGGGATATGCATCGTACACTTTCACTTACATCCCAAAAATAATAAAATGGCTTAAACAGTTTAAAATCAAATTTAATAACTGAATCTTTATTAAATGAAATTTCTCTATTTTATGCCACTTCATATGATCAGCTCAAGTAAATTTCTCTAAACCCGACCACTGCTTGACCACACTTGGTACATATGAATATTTTCATTTCTTCTTGAGCACTGCTGCAATCAATGAAAATTGTGCACTTCTTCTAGAGTGAATCCGAAAATATATCTCATACAAACATATGAATTGTTTTTAGTTATGACCACAAAGAATTGAAACATGAAATAAGCCAAAAAATAAAGGATGAAGGATATCAAGTACTAACTTGGTTTATATTCATCACTGCATAACACTGCAACACTCATACGCCCTGTCCGACTTTACTGTCTCACAATCACTTAATCGAGCATATATTGTGAAAATTCCGTTTTTTTTTGTTATTTAGGAATTCTTTGCTTTACAACAGCAACACCAACAATGTGGCATATAAAAGTCATCTGCATTTTGTTGGCTACACAAATGTATGTGTATATGTACACACACATTGATAGATGTATAAATATGCATATCACTTTCTTTTAACTTCATCAGTCGTTGGAATTTTTTCTCCACTTTCTTTGCATGCATTGATCGATTACTGTGGAATATGCTTTGCAATATACCTACTCATACTTCAACTCATTTGTGTGTGTGTGTGCATGTAGCTTAGGCAAAATGTAGCCATCAATGCGTAGGGTTTTCTATGAAATTACAGGGAAAAAAAATATTTTTTCTTTTCAGCTTTTTTTTTTAATTTTTTCGTTAAACATTTCTTTTCTATTTTTCTCAAATTACCTTTTACCATGAATGTCCAGTTAAGAAAGAGAGAGAAAAAAATATTTTTTTTTTTTAAATCGTAAATTTCCCTAAAGCTGTGGTGAGTAACTAGCAATTACATTCGTTTAAGTAATCTAATTGGTATCAAATGCAATATTTCTGCATACAAATTCAATTAATTAAAATTTTTCAAATAGATAAAACTACTCAGTTAGTACTCACACACGTGTGTACATACAATACATATGCACTTTTTCTTACACAAGGCAAGAAAAAAAGGCTTATAAACTGTTTATTCAACCGATGAAAAAAAAAATTAAATTAAATAAAAAAATTTAAAAAGAAACAAAATCCCTACCTGTTACTCCATCGGCTCACCATAAACCTACACAAATTTTCAAACAACTTAAGCGACAGCCATTAGTCGCTGCAGCACGGTCAGTGATGGAGCGGTAGTGCTTCAACAGCGTGTAATAGGCTTCAGTGCCAACAGAGCGAAAATCCGACTTAACCGCGGCTGCAGTTGTTGGTGCGATGTTAAGAGTGCGAAAGTGCGAGAAAGAAAAAGAGAGATGCACTGAACATAAGCGGATGAGTGACTGCCACATTTATATAGTGGTGGTGTTGGATGAGCAGTAAAAAACAAAAACACTAAGCCTCCAATAGTTGTGACAGAAAATGAATGTGAAAAGGAGTAAATAACCACCTCCGTGCGGGGTGGGCGATGGCAACAATTTTTTAGTTACATTTGTGCATTTACAGCCGACTATAACATTGCGACGCGTTTGCATATACCCTAAAGGAAATGCCCTGGGAAGAGAAGAATGAGCTCCTTTAGGCTAGATGTTAATTCATTAAAACGAGCTGTAATTAGTTTTGAAGTGGTTTGTAAACAATGCACGACTAGTTCATGATTACTTTTGAACTTTTTGGTACAATTTTTAAATAAATATTTGCATATCTCGAAACACCTTCACTGGTTTCTAAATTATATGGAACTAATAAGAACTACTCTACGCTTATTTTTGTAGTCTACCTTCGATACTGTACAGCTGGGTTATAGCCAGTTCAGGAGTAGTTTGTAGGCATTCTACAGCCACGTCAAAATTCCTTTTAACTATTTGGAATTAGTTTAAAATAAAATTAATCTTCTTAGAATTTCAAGCAAGTTAGAAACTAATTCATTAAAATGAGTTATAACTACTTTAGAAGTGGTTTGGAATCACTCTACGTCTAGCTAACATTTTTTATATCTTTTTAGTTTTGAAACTAATTTTCCACACACAATTAAAGATTTTTTTGAACCACTCGGATTGATTTATATTAGATGTTTTGTTATAGCTCACAACTATTCACTGAAATTGGGTATAACTAGCTCAGTAGGACTTGGACTAGATTAATATTGTTGCGAAAA